CATTCCCTTACAGTGTCCTTCAAGGTATGAGGAAATAATCTCATTCGAAATGCATCTGTTGATATTCCTTCATGACTGATTACCTCACATAGCATAAGAAACGCCGAAATATGTTCATGAGGATTCTCTGTGGCTTTTCCAAAGAACTTGATGTCTTGTTGATTTTGGAACAAATTTATGACATCTGGTCTAAGGTGGAAATTAGGTTGTCCAAAGGGAGGATATACTACAGCAAGTTGCACTAGTGCTGGAATTAGATTAACATAATGTCCAACTAAGACAGGGGCTTCATTCTGGATAGCTCTTGGTTGATTTGGTTGCGGTATTTGCTCGTGAAGCCGAACCTGATTCTGTGGTTGATTTTGGTTATCGGCCATTCTCATTGCTTAACGTTGTACTCTTCTACGATTTCTAAATGTTCTTTCTATTTCGTGGTCTATTGAAAAGAGATCTGGCTTGTCAAGATTTTGCATAAACTAAAGTCACCTAAAAAGTGTAATGGTAGCCTAAAAACAACAACTAAAAATAAAATAAAAACACAAACAATAAAAAAAAGATAAATAATAAAAATAAAAATGAATCTAAAATATTTAATAACTAAAATTAACACCGTTATTCCCCAGCAGCGACGCCAAAAACTTGTTCGTCAAAATCCCGCAAGCGTACGAGTTTGTTGTACAAGTAATAATTGTGATGAAAGAATTATCGTCCCACAGGGAATAATGTCTAATTTCAGTGTATTCGATATAATTAAATTCGTGTGATTAACTAAAAGTTAATATTTGTTTGAATAGCTAATTAAGTTCTATAACTAAAAATTGAAAAATTAATGAGAATTTGTTTTAGAATTCAAGTGAGTGAATGTATTTGATTTTCGACGCCACTAATCAACTCTTAGTTCTAATTCTTAACCTATGACAATTATCTCAACTCATGCAATTGTGACGATTGATAATTCCACTTTTATTTATTATTCTTTCCCAAGATATAATAAACATATGATTACCACGAAACGATCTTATTCATAGTCCGAATTCATATGGTAAACACGCATTGATGTATAGGATTATCATACATGATCGCACACGTCACAAATATTATTCCTAACATTCATTGTCCATGCATTTCAATAACAGTGTTCTACCTACCGTGAGTTTTTCAATACTACGAATAAGCAATTTATTGTCCTAATGGTGCGCAAACATTAAAACAATATGGATATGCATATTAAAGAAACTACAACACAAGAATTAATATAAAAACATAAGGTCTTGAATTAAAAACTATGAGTCAATCAGTTTTGTCATCCATCCAATACAAAGATATTTAGCCTAACATATTAATATAGGAAAAAAAGGAAAAATAAAAGAACGACATCATCCGAATCATTAAAGTATGAAAAGAATATGAAATCCTTCACTTTATACCTTCGATTCCAAATCCAAGTGATGAAGTCTTGTTCTTCAATGTATATCCCGCTCTCTTTTTCCTCTTTGTCGGCCTGCAAGATGTTAGAAAATTAGGTTCCCCATGTTTTAGCTGACTTTTGGTATAAATATAGTGCAAAAAATTTCATTTTGTCGGAGCTAAACCATGCATAGTAGCCTCAATTGAGATTTGGAAGTTCAATTTCCCAACCGTGCATACGCAAGGCCTGCAAGCCCATGCGTACGCATAGTTCAATTATTTTAGGGGCCAATTTGCAATTTGATCCCTGAAGTGTGTATTTTGGTCCTTTTCCAAAATTTCTTGTCCCATTAGCTTCTCTTCAACTCCAATTGACTCTTGGTGTTCTCAATTTATCGTTCTTTGGTCCAATTCAACTCTTGGATTATTGCATTCTAGTCCTCAAACTTTGCCCTTGATGTAATTGAGTCGTTTTTCCCACTTATTTTCTTTATTCTCGTATCTTCCATTGATTGTAACCTACACACAATATATACACAAGATTAAGTCATATTCCATCAAATTCATCAACAAATACTCAATTTTAATAGTCTAAATAAGTGTATAAAATACACTTATCAGTCATTAACCTAGTACTCCTTAAAATCTATTTTTTAGGCCCAAGAGATCATTAATGGACATATAAATATTGAACTCACATTAAATACCCAAATGGACAGAATCTGTTTTTATATTTTCTATTACCGTTCAATTATTTTTTCAGTCCTTTTTCACCCCCCCTTAACTATATCCAACGGCTATCAAATTTTTATCACACTTCTATAACATGTATGTGAAGGTAATCATGATCTAAAGTTCTGATAAATGAAGTGTTTTTAGCCTCATAAATCGTCCCTTTTTCACCCCACCAAATCAGACAGTTTTCTTTTCTTATGACTGTTTTCGATTTCCATTTTAGTAGCATGTCACCAATTAAATTTCAGGCTATTAGAAGACCATTTTCTATCATAGCTCAATTTAAAATTCACCACCTGGGTCGAGGAGTAAAACATTATCACCATGTAAGGATTTTAAAGCCTCCATGATTGAATGCACCATTTTAAGATAAAGCAATTAGGAAATTGATGCAAATGAAAATATAATTAGCATGAAATGCATGAATCATATAGGCCAATGTATAACGTGAAACTCGGGGTATTACATCCTCCTCTTCTTATAAAAATTTCGTCCTCGAAATTTGCTTACCAAAAAGTTCAGAATATTTAACCCGCATTTCATCCTCTCTTTCCCAATTAGCCTCTTCGATTGATGATTCTACCACAATACCTTAACCAATGGAATTTTCTTGCTTCTCAGTTGCTTTATCTCTCGTTGAAAGATCTCTATCGATTTTTCTTCATAAGTTAAATCTAGTTTTATCTCTACCGGTTCATTCCTCAATACATGAGAAGGATTTCCAATGTACTTTCTTAGCATGGACACATGAAATACATTGTGCACTTGAGACATTGATAAAGGAAGATCAAGCTTGTAGGCAACATTTTCAATTCTCTCGATAATAGAAAATGGACCAATGTATCTTGGGCTTAATTTTCCTCTCTTTCCAAATCCCCTTTATCGGTCCTATCTTCAATATACTTGGTCTCCAACTGAGAATTCTAATATTCTCCTTTTTTGATCTACATTGCTTTTATGTTGATCTTAAGCAATTTGCATTCACTGACGTATTTGCATCACAACTTTAGCCATTTCACGAATCATATCTGGTCCTAGCAATTTTCTTTCTCCAACATCATCCCAATAAACTGGAGATCTATATTTTCTACCATATAATGCTTCATAAGGAGCCATTCCAATCGTAGCTTGATAACTGCTGTTGTATGCAAATTCCACCAAAGGTAAAAATTTGCTCCACTGGCCTTAGAAGTCTAATACAAAAGCTCTCAACATATCTTCTAATATTTGTATTGTTCTTTCTGATTGTCCATCAGTCTAAGGATGATAAGCCGTGCTAAAAGATAATTGCGTTCCCAAAGCCTAATGTAAACTTTTCCTGAAGAGAGATAAAAAGTTAGAATCCCTATATGAAAAAATCAAATAGTGGCACTCCATTAAGTCTGACTATTTCTCATACATAAAGCTGAGCATAACGGTCCATGGAATAAGTGGAACATACTGGAATGAAATGGGCTGATTTTGTTAACCTATCCACAATAACCTAAATACTATCATATCCCTTAGTTGTTTTTGGTAATTTCACCACAAAGTCCATTGTGACGGGATAGGTAATAGTTGTAAAGCACCTGCTGATCTTTGATGTTCTGCTTTTATCTGTTGACAGGTTAGACATTGTTCCACACATTCGGCTATCTCACCTTTCATGTTCAGCCACCAATAATGTAACTTCAAATCTCTATACATTTTAGTAGCTCTTGGATGAACAAAATATGGTGTCATGTGAGCTTCAGATAAAATGTCCCCTCGGATATTTTCTGCATCAGGTACATATAATCATCCTCTAAACCACAAGATACCATCTGCTGATATATAAAAATCTGAAGTTTTTCCATCATGTATATCATTCTTTATCTTGAAACAATAATCATCTTCCCATTGCCCTTGCTGAATTGTATTTAATAAAGTTGGTTGAAGTGTCAGCGCTGCAAGTTTAGCCTCTACAAATCCTTGCGGCACAACTTTAATACTCATTTTTTGTAAATCTATCAATTCTGATTTTTTACAATCATACTCGCAACACTGGATGTCAACTTCCTACTCAATGCATCAGCTACAACATTAGCCTTATCAGCATGATAGTTTATAACATAATCATAATCTTTTACCAATTCTAACCATCTTCTTTATCTCATGTTCAATTCATTTTTGTGTAAATAGATATTTCAAATTTTTGTGATCAGTGTAAATCTCACACCGCTCTCTATACGAATAATGCCTCTATATCTTAAGTGCAAACACAACTGCGGCAAGTTTCAAGTCATGTGTAGGATAATTCTTTTCGTATTCTCTAAGTTGTCTAGAGGCATATGCAATGACTTTACTGTTTTGCATCAATACACATCCCAAACCATTCTTTGAAGCATCACTATAAACCACAAAGCTTTCAGTATCAGATGGGATTGAGAGGATAGAAGTTAAAAAAAAAAGAGAGAAAAATGCATTTTAATAAAACCGAAAATCGAACGGGCCATCTCGACCAATCTACTTATAGTTACTTTAATTGTTGGTGATTGTATGTTGGTGAAATTTTTTATGCAAGTAAATTAAATAATTAATATTGATCAATCAAAGTCATATCCATCCAATGCTGGTATTAAATCTTGTTCTTTACGAAATGAAAATATATGTTTGGTAAGGAAGAGATTAAAGTACATGGGCTAGTGTAAAAAAAAATAATAATAATAAGAATAATCAAAATTAAACCAATCAATCCTTCAAACAATATGGCCAAATGTCTTGATCATTTCAAGAAGCTAGAAATCAAGATATATAGAGCTTATCTTGTACAAGCCCAGTAACACGCTTCTGTGTTTCACCCATTCTAACTGCATCAGCGTCAAATGACCACAGAAAAATAAGCATACGAATATCGATAAGCATTACGGCAAAAATAGAATCACGTTAGTTACAATGAAATTGTGGTAGGTAGCCGTCGGATGCACTAATGCTAAATCAGTATTTTGCACATTTAGAAACAGAATATCTTGACATCGACGATAGATGATAAGCTTACTCGGACAAGAATAGCCCATGTTTTTTATAACCATTTGCCGTACTACAAAGAAAACACAGACGAAGATCTCCCAAATGGGGATGAATTCCTATTTCCAACTCCTACCAGTGGCCGAAGCTAGGCCCCGCATCTCCTATTGAATATCATCTATACAATAAACCCCACCAATACTGGTGAAGTCATAGCTGATCCTTACCTTTGTCTTCTTTCAGTTCAATCGGCTTTATATCGACTTAACGTCCTGAAACATAAAAGGAATTAGTTGATGGTTGCCTTCCCTCGACTTGAAGTTTTCTCATTTTCACCTTCTCCAGCCGAGCTCTTCGTACAGCTTCTTGGATTTGGCGGTCATGATCTTTCAATGCCTGGTCCATTTTGCCAGATGGAACTAGCAGTGGTCCAGAGTAGTGAATTTTGTTGCCCTTTGACCCATAACCCATCTGGAAAGAGATACAAGAAAGAAAAAACCTCAAGGACATTAAATTCTTAAATTGAAGAACAAATAGCCCCGTATTCAAACTCTTAAGTATATTTATTACTTACAAGAACCAGATCGTTGCTGATTCTTTCATTATCATGCTGATGAGACGCTACAGTCATGTTATCTTTTTGATCTTGTTGTGCCGTGGAATTTGAAGCCTCCTTGAATGATCCAGGAAACCTGGAAGTGAGCTTGTCTTGTTGAAAATATGATTTCTCCTGACGCTCTTCAGACAGCATGCTCTTTCTTGCTGCAACTAAACCAGACATGGCCGATAAGTCGGCCCCAGTTAGAATTTTCGGAGCATCTACTGTGTTCTTTCCAGCCTTTGCCCAGGCAGCCTGATTAACCAAGGGCCCAGAATGGGAATCTCTCTTGTGCATATTTCCCTGAGTATCATTGCTAGCTTCTTCCACAGCCTGCAATGGTCTAGGCGGGTCGATTGGAAAACCAGAAGCAACTTCTTCGGGATGAGAGCTGAACATCTCACTCCTGCTCTTGGAGTTGGACAGACCATGTCTTTTCTGTATCCAGAGAGCCAATATGCGATGAGAAACACTAAAGAAAAAACTGTGGATTGGCAAATGAAATCTTTTCTGGGTGATTTCACAAGGATCAAACTCAAGAATCTGTTATAAATTTATGATAATAACAAGAGAAAAGGGTACATAATTTTAAACCCAGTTCTATTTTAGACAGAACAAGGGGCCCGGTCACAATAAAATATGCAAGAATCTATAAGAAAAATTATAGCTACCAACAGCTTACTACTGCAAAGGTATGAACTCCTCTGAATTGGCAAAAGTTTTCTTTTTTCTACTCTACATTAATAGTCTTGCCTACTCTTATCTTTAAATGCACGTGAAGATATACCCTCAATTCAGTTACTTATACTGAAAAAACTTTTTTTTATGAGTTGCTTGATGATTTTTCTCTAATTATTTTTACTTTTTTTATTGTGACTACTATTTGTGAGTGTCTGATACATACTAGCTTGCTTTTTCCTTAATACACATCAATAATCAATGCATTTAGCATATTGAATGACGTGGCTTCATACGTCAATATCTTAACACAGACCTGCATCGATGAGACTAATTCAGCATTAGCATCAGGAGCTGGAACTGCACGAGATTGACGTGGTCCTCTTCTATCAAGATCATGCCTTTGACCCTTGCTTCCAGCTGCCACTTGTCTATAAATTTTCATCAGTTAGGAGATAATTGATAACACTAAAAAATTTGAGTAGAAGCATAATTTACATGGCCAATTTTCAGGTAATATGTAGACAAGTTTTCAGGTTTCAAATATAATTAGGCAGTGCTTCAGCATTACATGGTTACATGTTAAGATTCAGTAATAACCTTCTAGCTTCTTCGTCCCGTACTTTGACATCAAACTCTTTGCTGGGAGGATATTTGGGCAAGACTGAAGGATCACAAGGATGTGGCCTTGTTGTAAAGAACTGCAAAAGAAAGCACACACAATATAAGATTTTCCATTTGCTAAGTTCCTCGCATTAACTACAGAGAAATGAGAACTCCAGACACAAATATAAAAGTAGATCATAATCCATCATATGAGAAAAAAGGTTGACGAAGCATATGATTTTTATGTTAACCGGCCTACTTGAGCAAGAAACAAGAGCAAAAAATATATTGGACTTTTACTTCAGCTTAACTTCTGTTTGATTGTTTGTCCCATTTGAATGCATCATTCTTCCTTTAAAGTACCACATCCTCAAGAATAAACTATCAAAAAAGTCGGTAAGACCTGGGAGACAATTTATAACTTTCTCAAATTTTGACCCACCAAGAACACGGGTCTATCTAACATTAGGGACATGAAATGGTCCATTATATAACTTTTGAAAAACGTAAATTTATGGAAAATGTTAATTTTAAAATATATAGATCAGTTCAGGTATCCTCAGCTGAGTTCACCAATTTTTGTTCATGCCCTAGCCCTGGTTTCCATCTTCAAATTCATCTCCCACTAAAGATAAGCGCAAGCACCTGTTTCCATCTTTCTCTCCTCCTTGCTTCTTGCTTTAGTAATTCGCCTCTCTGCCAATTGCGTGGCAAAGAAGCAGCAAGATGGGAAGAGGATATGTCACAAACTGTAGCGCTGTGTTAATTTTACTAATTTTCATTCAACTTGGATGCCTACACCCAAATTGAAGATGCAGTCACCTCAGAGGGCCACAAATTGCACTTCTAGGAAAAAAACAACAGATTCTGCATAATGTTTGTTTTCTCTGAAACTTAGGCCTTGTTTGAGCCACATTATTCGAAAAAAATACATTCTTAAACAGTGATTTTACATCATTTCAACCACGCATTCTTTAATAAAATAATATTACATGCAAATCCAAATTATTTCCTTATTTTTTAACCACCAATTTTCCATCAATAATGCATTTTCACTCCAATAATGTGGCTCAAACAAAGGCTTATTATATAAATTTAAAATATGGCGTACATATTATCTTTGTTCATAGACAAACAATATTACCAATATAATCCCCTGGCATATTCATATCCTGCTATTTTGAAAAATTACATGGCATTTCCTGTGTCCATATCCAAGCATCAAAGTCAATGAATATCCCCTAAAAATTTTGATATGTCAAAAACTTGAATATTATTGTTCGTAGCAAGGACAAAGAAGAGATATGACCATCAATGTGATCATTTATCTTCAACTGGCATACTCATATTACCAGAAAAAACAACAGATTCTGCATAATGTTTGTTTTCTTATATAAATTTAAAATATGGTACATATTATCTTCGTTCATAGACAAACAATATTACCAATATAATCCCCTGGCATATTCATATCCCGCTTTTTTGAAAAATTACATGGCATGTCCTGTGTCCATATCCAAGCATCAAAGTCAATGAATATCCCCTAAAAACTTTGATATGTCAAAAACTTGAATATTATTTTCGGAGCAAGGACAAAGAAGAGATATGACCATCAATGTGATCATTTATCTTCAACTGGCATACTCATATTACCAGTATTACCAGTATAAGCCCCAGCATAATCATATCCTGCTCTTTTGAAAAATTACATGGCATGTCCTGTGTCCATATTCATACATCAAAGTCAATAAATATCCCGTAAAAAATTTTGATAAGTCAAAAACTTGAATATTATTGTTCGGAGCGAGGACAAAGAAGAGCTATGACCATCCATGTGATCATTTATCTTCAACTGTAACTCTGTCTTTTACTAATAAAGAAGAATTTCCTGATTCACTTCTTCTAAAGGTCGCAAGCTTATCAACATGATCCCACCTTTTAGCCTAGTGCCAAATTTTTTCATCAGCGAACTGGGAACCAACATTATAAATTCTTTTACCTCTTCTTTTTTCCCCGTCTTTTTGCTCCTGGGAATAGATTGGGGTTTGAGATGTTGGAAGAGGGGAGGAGGGAGAACAACTATACTAATTCACCAATACAGGAAAATCTAATATTTAATATTCAAGCCAAAAATGTAATTCAAGGAAATTTGCTACCTCGCTCTTCAAAGCAGAGGATGCAGATCCGCGATCTGCAGGATCTATTGAAAGCAAAGTCTCTGCGAGTGCTAATGCTGGAGCTGGAAAATCTAGAAACATTTCTGCAACACGGCGTTTATAAGGTTGTTGAGGCTTGAAAATTGTTGCATGAGGCAACTTCGATTTCTTCCAATACTCTTCAGAGGGTGACCCACAAAGTTTAAAAATTTTATGTAACTGCTCAACCTACAAAACAAAGTCCAAAAAGATTATTGTACCATTGTCATGAGATTTTCTGATTTTTTTCCAGTGGCGAAATTAAGGTGGATCTCTTTTTTGTAGGTTAATCAAAAGAAACAGTGAGAAATGTTGAGATAAATGGAACAAACAAGCAATGCCAAAATCAAAATTATCCTAAGATATTTTAGTATTTAATGTGAGTTTATATACTAAAGCTCCATATAAACTAATATGTCTCAGTACGAGTAGCATTCATCAGTCATAAATTATGATGCTCGCAATAAGTAACAAAAGATAATTGATAAAAACAAAGATAAATGCACATCCAATGAATAGAAATGTAGCAAATGATAACTTCCCACCAAATGAAAATGGCATCATATCATACGGCAGTTGAAAGTGATGCATCTAAAGCAGATGCTAAATATCAACATTAATTTCAAATTTTCAGACATGCATACTCATGATTTCTCCCCAACAACAATCATTATCTCAAAGTACTTGAACTTGAGTCGCCACTAAGATCATAAACTTTTGTCAAGGAGATGAAAATTCATTATTTAAGGAGACATCAAAGACAATTCTAAATAACATATTGAAGATGAAAACCACATCAACAATTGCAATGCAGATATTGGGAAAAACAATGAAAACTTTGTAATCCAACCCAGCTTCAACCCAGCTTTGGTGGGAAACCAGAAATTTCAAGTGGCTTTGAAACCCTGACATAGGAGATCTCTCTAAACCATCAGAGCTCCTCCATTAGAAATATGAACTCTAGAAGATAGAGACTGTAACAAGTACACTTACGGAAAATCAGAAATTAGCAATTATTTTAGAAACACTTTTAAAGGAACTATCACAATCCATAAGATCCAAGAAACATGAAGCCAACTTAGAGACCCAGAAGTGCTTTCTAACTATTTGAGAAACTGCCAACAGCATTTTTGCCTTGTTTGCTTCACTTCAATCCTTTTCCATGGGAGAATAGAAAACCTGGTAATATGGGGCACAAGATCTAGCTTTGGCCATTAAAAGTATTAAGTAGTTTCTGAAGTTAACCTAAAATCTTTTGATACAATTTCGCTAATGACCCACAGCCGCAACTAATTCTAGTTTCTGTTACCGATTGAACAAGCTTCCCCTAAAGATTAAGTGAATATATTAACAAATAATTTAGTGATATTTTCACATTGCATATAGCAAAATAAATAATTTTATTATTGTTTATTTATTCATTAATTCATCAATCTGCCTAATTATGGACTCCCTTATGATGCTGTGGAGCTTCAAATTTTTAAAATTCATGTACTCATGCATTTCAGCCTACGTTGATTAATAAATGCATAACAAATTTGTACTTCATATATACCTGGCTACCAAACATAATATTTTCTTCTTTAATAAATAATAAAAGGACTAAGTTTTCTTCAGGGTTCTATTAGAGTCCATAACTACTAAATAACACAATTCACCAAGCAGGTGCTAGGATTTGCGATTGACAAGGTTCTTGTCGACTAAAATGATTGCAGTTCAAAAATTATTTGTCATTGTCAAGTGCCCTTTTAGGAACAAAAAGTTGTTACTATTGAAACATCTGAGGCTTGACTTTAGAACATCTCGAGCTGTATCATCCAATCGATCCAGATGTAATGAATGGTATGCAGCAATGAGCATCAATTCGTTGTTCCTCTTTCTTCCTTTATCTTCTTTCCAGCATCAATTCGATTTTGTTCTTTTTTTTTTTTTTTTTTTTTTTTTTTTTTTTTGGTTTTCATAGGCAAGGTTCCCTTTTGAAAATTGTGAGAAAAAAATAACGCGAGAACGTACCTCTGTTCTTCCAGGCATGATAGGTTTTCCAGCATATAGTTCAGAAAGTATGCAACCTGTACTCCATAAATCCACAGCAGAACCATAGTATGTCGCACCAAGTAGAAGTTCAGGAGGCCGATACCACAAGGTAACAACACGGCTCGTTAGAGGCCGACTCTGATGAGGATCGAAGAAACTTGCCAGACCAAAATCTGCAATCTTCAGGATGCCATTATTGTCAATTAGAAGATTTGAACCTTTTATATCACGATGCAGGACATTGCGACTATGACAATGATCAAGTCCATGCATAAGCTGTTGCATGTAAAATTTAACCTGTCAAAATATGACAAAACCGTCATACTTTCTTGAGCAATCAAAAAAACTGAGCCGAGTACATGGTACCTATAAGATGTGTAAAATCTTGCAAATCAACAATTTGGAGAACCCACACACAGAGTATGATAAGAGATAACATACTGAAACGATTAAGGGAGAAATTGCAGCTATAGCTGATCAAACAATTTTTGTGAGTACCTGAGGTTCGGTAAATTTGACCCCAGGGAGAGATGCGAGGCCAGCCAAATCATGCTCCATGTACTCAAAAACAAGGTACAGGCTGCAAGACATCCGAGATGTAACTAGACCTTCCAATTTAATTACATTTGGATGGTCAAGCCTACGTAGAATGTGGATTTCCCTCGCCATGAAACGAACACTTTCAGGCTCCAGGTTGTCAAACCTCACTTTCTTCAAAGCAACAATCTTCCCTTGATCGAGGTCACGAGCACGGTAAACATTACTATAAGTACCCTGACCAATCTAGGGGGAAAAGAGAGAGAGAGAGAGATCCATAAAAGAAAGAAAATAAATTAGCCAACAAGCAATGTCAATAATTATTGCAATCATCAGAATGCAAAATTCATCAGTAAAACATGTTTCATAAATAAATATTATCAACCAGTCTGAATGTTATTTCCATAAAGCCATTTGCATAGACACAATGATATCTTGAAATGACAAAGATGACATAACAAAAGAGTTCCAATATGAGCATCAGAATAAGTGAATTGAAGGCATCCATTGTTCAATTGAAATCCTACATATAAGCCTATAATTCTGATAAGGACCAAATTAGAACTATTTAACTTCATAAGCATCCCAACCCAACTACTTGATTTTCTGATTACTAATATTATATCTCCATTCTGCTTTCATATTAAAAACTAAGGTTGCTAACAGACGACAAAGCAGACAATTTCAGTTTAGTACATGTTTGGGAAGTCATTAAATAAAAATTTAATTGATTATAAGTTACAAGTCCTACCAAATGCGTGGATGGTGTGGGGAATAGTTGTTGGTCTATAGAACGTGTGGATAAAAAGTATGTATGCCCAACTTAGATTATAGTTTAATCATCTCCCAAACATGCACTTAAAAATATTTTGGACTACCTCGCATGTTAAAGCATGCATACAAAATCCTTCAAAATCAGTAGTTGGTCTTTTGTTCTGACAAAGCTGTCACAAGTAATGATGGAAAATTATTGTATTATGTTTTACAGAATCAGTAGGAAAAAGTGAAAATCTGCACAGGAAATTGTGTTTCAGTTGTTTAATCCTCATGAAAAGTTCATGTATTTTACGCCCAAGGGCATGCGGCAAAAACTTCTGTGAACTTCTATTTTTCCTTTTTACCTCATTCAGGCGGGTTTCATACAATTTTTTACTCCAGTCTGCATTTATCGTAATGTAATTGAACAACTGACGCAGGTGGCACGCATTTAATATTTTAGATTAACAATTGTTCCAACAATAGATGTACAAGATAAAGGGGTAATGAGTATTACAATTTAAAAGGTTTCCCAGGATATTAACTTCCCTAAATAATAATTATAAAGCGTCTGGAAGGAACAGTTCTAGAGCAATGCTATGTAGGTTCATGACAAAAGTCAACAGAAGGAGCATACCTTATCAAGCTTTTCGAAAGAATCTGCCCTTCTAGGCACCCATCCTCTAATAGCTTCACCAGCAACAGCGACCAGCCATGGTGGCCATCCGGCGGAGACCTGCTCCCCTTCCGTTCCTCTAGGGACCATGCCCATGCCAGGATGTTGTACCACTGAAATATACTCAGCCTTCTCTGTCTTCCTCTCGAAATTCTCATTATGCGATCTAGCTGAACCATTCACTTGCTTATCCATCAACACTGCCCTCCCATTGCAATTATTACTACTATTATTATTGTCCAGCGATTCTTTTACCATGCTCTCATCCTCTCTCCTTGAGGACACCACTCTAGGGACTTGTAAATCCGATGAAGTTTTATTAGACAGCCTCTCCCTCAAACTCTCCTTACTATCCCCTACAGCATAGGGCTTACAAAAAACACAACCCATTCTACTTCAAAACACCACAATCCCAAAACAACCCACCTCCCAAAATCAAATATTTTTCATCTACACCAACAAGAACTCCTCTTCTTCCATTGCTTCTCTGCAGCAAACAATTTACCCAAGAAACAACCTTTAACCTATAATTCAACTTAACCAGAGTAAAAAAGTAAAATCCCAAATCAGGCATCACCAATATGCATATCATACCACAAATAAATGTACAAAAATTAACCCCAAGCCCTAAAGAAAATTTTATTTAAAACCCCAGATAGAAAAAACCAATCCTTCACGAAATGCATAATTGTTGGCAATATATATATATATTAAACTTTGGCAGAAAATCCAAATGGGTTCTGTGAATGGTACCTTGGAATGAACAGTGCAAGAGTGAAGTTGAGATTGTTAGCAGTCCACGGTTTGACATGGGTAGATCTAGAGCATGAATAGAATTTTGTGCAGAGAGAAGTCGAGGATAGAGGGGGGTTAATTTTTTTCTGTCAAATATGCATGTAGAGTTTGGTGTATTTATATATTTCTGAAGACCCAGCAGCCTTTTTATCAGTTTCCGAGAGAGAGAGAGAGACCGAGAGACGGGGAGCTGGTAAGCTCAGGGCGTTTTTCGTTGGGGACATTCTTCTTACTTTTTCAAGATTCTTTTTTTTTTCTTTTTCTTTTTCTTTTTATGAAATTCCTTTTTTTTAGTGAGAATTATTTCTTTTGTGCTGCGGATTAGTTTTTTTGTAAGTTAAATAGTTTCCGCTTGTAGTCTTAGTTAAGTCAGCTTGAGATAGTGAAAGACATGTATTAAGATATACTATTGAAAATTATTTTTCCTATTGACTTTATCAGTGTTTAGTTTATCTAACTAAAATTATAGTTTTGAGATTATAAAATATTTTTCAAGAAAAAATTTACAGCTTAAGAAATAGATTAATCAAAGTTGTTGCTTTGTATTTCAGGCTTTGATGCCACCATAATTCAACCGTTAATCTATATGGTATGAAACTTTAGTCCCGTTTGGCCCTCAATTATTTGGTATTATAACTTTTGAAATAATGTTTTTGTCAAAAATATATGGTTGAAAATAAGATAAATAAGAAATAGAGAAAATTATAGCGATAGTTTCTAATCTTTTCATTTTTTGCAGACCTTACTCTAACCTTCATTTTGTGTCAGCGAAGATCCTTAACATTTCATCAATATGCACCTAAGGTGGACGGAAATCGTCCAAAATACCATCAGTTAACTGGAAAATTTTCTTGAATTATTTGCTATCGTGACGATTTTATTAGATGTTGATACATTTTTGGACGGTCTTATTGGATGTTGATTCATTAATTTTTTCCATCAACTAACAATGTTTTGGACGATTTTCATCCAGATGAGCCTCAAGTACATATTTATAAAATGTTAGGAACCTCCGTCAGCGCAAAATAAAGATTGGGGTAAAATCAACAAAAAATGAAAAGATGAGGGACCGATGTTACAATTTTTCCTAAAAAAATATAATGTGAAATAATGGGGACCAAACAGAATAATGAAGAAGTTACACTAAGTACAATTTTAAAAAACATTTTCAAACTTTACATTTAAATCATAAATTCTCTAATTGTGGCAGTAAAATTAATAACCCAAAAATTGCTTTACTCCTTGAAATTGATCAATACACATGCTATAATCACTCCTGCAAACATGCCTTCTCTGTCATGCTATAATCACTTCTCACATGTTTTACTTTCCAACAAAACCCGACCTAGAATCACTCCCATAATCCCCCAAACTCTTTACTATTATTACAAAGAATAACAAAAATCCAATTTCGCTCTCCGTCAATATTCCAAAGATATCAAACCTCACCAAATCGATCTCAAGAAATCCTTCTCTAATTCCAAGTCGATCTTCATGACAATACATCTTTCTTGTTTCCCCACAAATTAGCTTTGAAAATCCTTTCTGCAATCTTCAATTTCGACATTCAGGGGATGAATCATGTAATATTTTGATGTCCAATTCATCGAAAACAAAAAAAACTAAATTTTCTTTCTTGTTGTGAACCCAAAATCCAAAGACAGGTCATCTTTTGTAAACTTAAATCAATTTTCGAGGGAATCAACAACATCAACCAAAGTGTGTCATTGGATAAATTCAATATAAGATTAAATTGACAAAAGTAGTACATTGAAGCGATTAGGTTTTTAAAACATATTACCTATACTTCTCGAATATGATTTTCTCAATTGATTTCCCCTAAAAATTGGTTTTATAGAAGCCCCCAATGTAGATTTAATAGAGGATGAATCTCTACCAGAAGCGAGTTTACCATATATGTGAAGTTGGATTCGTCGCTGTCACCGTTACTATCCTTATTGCTCCATCAATTTCTTGGCTTGAATTTGAAATCCCATGTTTTTAGTAGTCTCAATTAAATTCATTCGTTTCTATCGTGCATCATAATTGTTGTTACGATTACGGGAATATATGGAAACATTTGGATACACTGATTATGGTGATGTAGTAATTCCAAATTTCATTTTAGTAAAGTAGTAAAAATTGAACTTTTATATACATGTGAGGTATTTGTGATTTTTATTTTTATTTTTTTTATTAAACAATTTACTATAACAAAATTTATTTCGGGTTAGCTTTTAAAAAAAAAAATTGAGAGATCTTTTAATAGGTAGTATTGGGAGAATTTTGTCTTAAACAGGTCTTCTTTTTCTTTTTCTTTTTTCAATAACAATTTTATTTAACGAATTGTAAATATTAAGTGCAAAGGCATAAATTATCCAACTCGATCCTATCAAGTTGACTTGGTATAATAGACGTGACGCAACTCGTGTTTATATTTAGTAATTCTTTTTCTTTCTTTTATTATTTTATGTCGTTCATTTTTTTTATTTCTGTATATAAAGGCGCCTACAAATTATGGAAAATAATATTTAATCTTGTTGCTTGGTACTATTTGCAAGCATGTAACCGATTAACCAAAAAAGGTTCAAATAATTACATAGGAATCACTGATAATAATAATTTAAAAAAAAAAAAAAAGCTAATGAAGATAAATGATAATTGGTAAAATTTCCATTGGCGATCGTCAACTAGTTTATCATCGGTGATTCTTATAGAATTAGATCGTGATTTCATCGGTGCACCTCAGTAAACGATACCAATGATAATATCGTCGATAATGTTGTCATAGATCACTGGTGATGATTCGATACCTTGCGACAAGCCATCTATGCCTCTGATGAAATTTTATAATATTATCATTGGATATATTGTTTTCTTAATAGTTATTTTAGAAGGAATTTTTGTTACTGTTTACCTATTTATCTTTCATTACTTATTTATTGACTAAATTGTGGTTTATTTTTACTGACCCAAATGCCTTTCGAAATATTAAATTATTCTTTTAACCGCCGACTTGATTTTCTTAACTTAATATTTACTTTTTAGATATTTGTTACTTATTAAAAATAAATTTATTGGTGCTTCAAATTTTTATTAAGACGTCTTTTTTCTATTATCAACAATGAAGAACTCTTATCATTAATCTTAAATAATTATTTTTATTGCCATTTATATTTAATTTTGTAAATTTAAACATGATTTCTGTTTAGAATGCAAATTTTCTAAAATTTAGAGTCTTGAGCCAACTCTAGGTTCGATCGACAAACAAACTCAAGAAGATGTTTTGCCTCGATTTTTCTTTGTTATTTGCAAGAAATAAAATGAATCGTCATTAATATTGAGAAAAATAATGTAATTTACGTTAGTTTGTATTTTCTTCTTTGATGCTTTAAGAACATTTCCACTTCATTTTAATTTTTGAAGGGGGCTAATAAGTTTTTAGTTGGTGATTAGTCAATTGTCATATATAATTATAATTTTGAACTTCCTCACAAACCAAACAGAAAATAAGGTGATTATTGTCATTCACTAAAAAAAAGGGTAAAAAATCGTTAAATGCATTGAAAATTGTCACTTCAATTACCATTAACTTTCCGCACCTAAACCAATTTTAAGTTATCGGAGTTGAAAAACCCCGCCAGGGCCCTACTTAATTTATTGTAGTAGGATGAAGCAAATTTAAGTTTCTGGGTCCATTCCATTGATGTCTTCCACCTATATACCTAACAATAATTGGCTTTTGAATTTATCAAAAAAAGTATTTTTCAAATTAATTAAGATGTCATGTAAGTTTCTCCTCCTTATTTTAAATATAAATATAAAGCTTCGTCTGTGTAAAATTCACCAATTCTAAAACGATTCGTTTTCTCTTTCATAACTAGATTATATTAATTTTATGAAAGGCTTTTATTTATTCTATTACTGTTAGTAAAAGTTCATTCGGTGTTTGTTTGAACAACGTTATTTTGAAGGAATGTGTGGTTAAAAAATTAGCAAAAATTTTGAATTTGCGTGTAATATTATTTTATTGAAAAATGTGTGGTTTAAATGATGTCAAATCATTGTTTAAGAATGTATTTTTTTTAAAGAATGCAGCTCTTATAAAAATATTTAAAGGATCAAATTGAAAATATATTTCCCTTAAAATGTAAAGAAAAATAAGATGTTATTTATTAAAATTAATTTTATCAATTATTGCCTTTCTTAATTAAAGGTTGAACACCAATCTTTAGGGTCCCCAACGCCTCGTCTCTGGAGTATCGTGAGGGAGGTAAATCGCCGGATGTGCCCCAACAGACCAGAAAATAAGAACTTACCCGTACACTATTGCCTACAAAGAGTCCAATTCCATATTTCAAAAATCGAACTCTCACACTGCGACTGCCAACAAGGTTGAGAATACCTCACTCCTTTCATTTGCAACACTGGATTATGCCCCGAGGGGCTTTATTGCCTTTCTTAATTAATAATGTGATTGGAGTGGATGGTAGAAGTGTGCCCTGTTCCGCAGAGGCGGATATCACCCGGTTCAACCCCAGCTCAATCCACTTTGAAACCATATTTTACTGTGAAAAATACATGACTACATACCTTTCAAGATACACTTTCAAAATTGACAAATTTGAGGATTTATTTCAAAAATTAGGTCATAAATAAAAATGATGATAGTAATTTAATTGGATTCCGTTATATTTTATAATCAATTTTCGTATCTCCACTCAGCTGAATTGAAACCCCATCACTGGTTACCTTCCAAAGTTGGACGGAAACCCCCAGTCAAATCCTCATAAATTCATTCTCATTCAATCACAATTCTGTCGTGTTCTACATATTGACGAGATGAAAATTATGGTTTGAAGTCACAAATTCTTGAGCCTAAATTACAGGCTGTCATCATCTCTGTAGCGTATTGCCATACTTGGCCAATCCACCTGGGCCAATGGACCACTCATGCCGAACCACGTGGCACTCCAGCCAAGGTGGCATATATTGCCGAGGTGGCAATGGCCGAAGCCCTTCAAGCCGAAGTCCATTGACCGAGGCTCCCTTTTATCGAGGCCTGTGAATGTAACCGAGGTCCACATGCTGAGGCCTATGAGTCGATGCCATGATGCTGAAACTGGTTGAAGTTAACTGAAGCCTTCAAGTAGAAGTATTGTATGAAATGACCGAAACCCCGAAACTGATGCAGGAGCCTCCAAACCACAAAGGAGCATCCTCCATGGT